AGTTTTTGTGATTTTTTCAAGAAAATTACCAAAAAAGGAAATTTTTTGAAAAAATGTGGATCAGCGGAAAGAGTTTTATTGCCTTAATATGTTAATATTATCTATATAATATAAAAAATTATATATATAATTATTTTTTTTTATTTTTTTTTTAAATCACAACTGGTATTATATATAAGCTCTTTATTAAGAATTAACTTAATATCAATGGATAATGAAATCCTTAACATTACATCAATCATTTTATACAAACTATATATTTCTATATACATGCAAATTAATGATAACCTATGGTTTATTCTAGATAGACCTACTACTATTCCTTAAGTGGGCAGACCTACATAGTCATCAATGTATAGTTATATATATTAAAATTTTTATTACAAATAAAATATATATTTAAAAATCTAAAATTTTTTACCCCTTATATCTTTTATCATATGAACAATTTGACAAATCATATAATAAACTTTTGCATAAAAATAACTTAATGAATTTAGAGAATTTAAAAATGATACTAATTTAAGTGAATAATAATAAGATCGATTTACGATGTGATTTATCGAACACTGATGTAGAACATCACGATTAAGTAAAATGTTAGCGCTTATTTCACCTTCGGAGATTGATTATATTATCCAAGGCGTTGACGATAACCTTCGCGCAGATGGGAGAGGGTGTCTTGATTATCGGGAGGTAGTAATAGAGACTGGAATGATATCTCAGGCTAATGGGAGTGCCAGATGTAGGCTTGGCGAGGGAACTGACGTGCTCGTTGGTGTGAAAGTCGAAATTGGAAGCATCGAAATAGATGGGGCTGACGAAGAAGTTGCAGCTATAAAAGCAAAGAGGGGAAGGGTGGTTTGCAACATCGAATGGTAGGTCACACAAAAAGCATATTTTTCGTTTATGACTTTATGTCGAAATTTCTATTGTCTCGTAGTTCTCCTATTGCGTCACTACAATTTGCTGGCAGAGGCGCTGACGATATCAATAATGAACTAACACAAACAGTGGATCGCGTATTGAATGGACCACAAGGTGGTATTAACCTCGAAAAATTATGCATTCTTCCGGGGGAGGAATGTTGGGTTGTCTATATCGACGCGCTTGTAAGTGTCGGTGGGTCTATTTCTCGCTTTTTTTTTTTCCTAAACAATCTTCAACCATTCATACTTTCCTAGGTATTGGATTATGCTGGAAGTATTTTAGATACAATATTTATGACTATACGGGCAGCTCTTTTTAATACCCGCGTTCCGAAAACCACTGTAGAAAACAATGAGGTTGAGATTTCCGGGGATGTCGAAGAATGGGAGAGAATCGAGGGTTGGGAACAAGTGCCAGTATCTATTACCTTGAACAAGGTAAATTCAGAAAAAAGTTTTTATTATGTCGATGTCGTTGATTTTAATTAACGTGTACGCCCAAATTTAAGATTGGATCGCGTTATGTCGTTGATGCGACACCATTAGAAGAGTTCACCACTGAAGCAAAATTATCCGTGACGGTTAACAAAAGTGGAAAAGTGTGCGGGATACAAAAGAGTGGGGGCGGTAGCATTGAACATAGTCTTCTGAATGAAATGATTCAGGTACGATGCTGACTCGTTTTCTTTATAATGTACTTATGGAGCGAGGAATTAAATGTGCAAGTTTTGATTTAGACGGGGAAATCATTGGGACAGACCTTGATAATTAATTTAGACGAAATTCTTAAAAAGGAAGAGGATGACCTTGATGCACGAAATGGACCTTTAGAAAAACTTGGATTCTTTGCTGCAACATAATGAATTGTATATTCCTCCCTTAGAATGTAAAGTTCATAAATATTCTGTAGGATTAATTATACCAGATAATACGTCTGATCAGAGTGGTCGGGGGCAAAACAAACACAAATAAATACTAAGTATCTGTCGTGATTTCATGGTTAATCGGGTGTTCACGCGAAATCGGCACGACTGTCTTTAAAAATCGGTAAGAAAAGAAAAAAATTAAGATCAATAATAGTACGCGTTTTGGTAAAGAAATTTCGTGTTCATCATCAATAAAAAAAAAAAGAAATCTATACAGTAATTAACGACCACCATAATACATCTCATGATGTTTAACTATAGTATTATTTTAGCTAGTCATGTAAAAAATATGAGAATAATTTTGTAAGTATTTATTGAATTAGTACCGAAGTGAATATAATAAAATTGTGGTTTATTGACCCACAGATTACAAAAGAAATAAACAAATTATAGTAAATATCGCTTGTAAGTATATAATTAAATAAGATACAAATAAATCTAAACTACCAGCGTTAATATAACCAACTCTTTTGGATAACGGAAGAAAATAAATATATTTTTTTTTTTTTCGTTTTGTCTCCAGAAATATTCCCTAGTTCAAAATTGAATATTCAGCAAGAAATATATAATCAAATGTGGTTCTATAAATGAAAAGCCTAACACATATCTAAGCAAAAATTACTCGATTCCATTATTTATTAAATGGGAAACCACCCTTCTTCTTTCCTTTTTCGGGGGTAAGCGGTCTACCAGACTCCAATCGCTTCTTCTTTTCCTCTAATTCTAGACGTTGTTTCTCCAGTGCATCTTTCATCTCCTTGTGACGAGCGTATAATTCATCTTCGGATTGTTTCAATTTAGCCTCCTTCTCTTGGACTTTCTGTTGGAATACCATCTTCATTTCAGTCTCCATCTTTTGTAATTTGGCCTCGTGTAATTGACGCTCTTCTTCCATCTTGGCAAGTGGGTTTACTTCCTTAAATACCGTTTGATCTTGCTGTACTCCCATGGTGACAAGTTTCTCGGAGCGATAGTTCTCATATAGAACATCATTAGTATATTCTTTGAGTTCTTCCATGTGAGTTCTGAAAAAAAAAAAGGAAAACGAATGTATCACACGATGATGATAATATATAACAGGCAGATGCATAGAGAAGTAGATACATACCGAATCAACATTTGTCGAAGTTTGACAAAGTCGTTGTGTTCTTCGTTGTCAACTTCAATAACACCCCATGGGTATTTACGTCCACGGACGCGGCGACCATCTGGGAGTTCTACTTCCTTGTCACTACCAACAATTGCAAACGGGATTTTGCTCTATTATGAAAAGTTTGTTGATTAATACCTGAACGCGGTAATCATAAAAAAAAAAATATAATAAATCTTTCACTAAATTCAACGTACTATTATTTCTCGATTTTCGGCTACGGTCTCTTGATCATCGTATTCATATTGTGGAGCTTGATAAATTTGAATTTTGTGGTAAGCAATATCGTCTAGAATACGTTGTTTGAATTGTTTGATTTCATCTTCGGTTAATGTATCGGACTTGGCAATAACAGGGATGAGGTTAACTTTGGTATGTAGCCGTCTCATGAATTCTACGTCCAAAGGTTTGAGCCTAAGAAAAGTTAGAATGTCAATTTTCCTCTCAAAATGAATTCAGAAACAGGTCAGAATGGTCAATTCTTACGAATGGCCGGTGGGTGCGATAAAGTAAATGCAAGCATGCACACGGTTATCAACCATCTTACGGCGGTTCACACGATTTTCTTGCTCGAGGTATGCATCAAAACGAGCTTCGATGTTTTCGAGAATTGGTTTCCAGCTAATTAGAGAAATGGCAAATAAGAATCAGACAATGCAAATATGGATTCCTCAACTTATTCCGTTCATTACCTTTCCTCGTTGTTGACAAAATCGCCAAATCCAGGGGTATCCACAACTGTAAGCCTTAATTTAACTCCATTTTCTTCAATGTCTTTATTTTTTTTTTAAAAAAAAAAAAAATTCGTAACCAGTATTATAAGGTCAAAATTACAAATAAAAGTGAAATCTGACCTGCGCAGAGAGATTGGATTTCTACGGTCTTTGGTGTTTCGTCCGATGGTTCGGCATCAGTTTTATTAGGATAAAGGGTTGTACCGAATAAAGTGTTAACAAGGGTTGATTTACCCAGACCGGATTCGCCTAAGGATAGAAAAACGTGTTATCTTACTTTTCTCCGTAATGCTAACACCCGAAGAATGCGAGCGTTGCATACCAACTATCATTATTGTGAAGTGAAATCCCTTTTTCACGGACTTCCTATGGACCTGGTTTGGAAGGTTAGCGAAGCCGACATATCCCTGAAGTTTTTTTCGGACAACGGAAATTGGTGTCGCCTGCGACGGGCAATGTAAACATTTTATGTTTTAATCGGATGGTATACGCTATGGAAAAGCGCTCGCGATTACACTTACTTTCGAACTCGAAGCACTAGCGGAATTCTCTAATAAATGATGAAATAATGACAAATAGTCAATCATGTGAATATAACGTTAATTAAAGTAATGAGTTCGACCAATAAAATCTAGAAGTGCAACTTTGGGGACGTGTTTAAAGTGTGTTAAAGACTAGTCTTATTATCCTAAAGGTAAAGCAGAAACAAGATGAGTGCAGATGACGTGAAGAACGCCATCGCAAACAAAAAGAAATCGTATGCAGGTAACCGTAACCATACTGATTGTCGAATCGAAATTTTTTCATGTTCGCGAAGAATAACTACAACTAAATAAGATAAAAAGAATTATATAAACCGTTATATGAACACGTACCAGACATTATTTATGAAGAAAATTATAGTATAGATATTAAATGTTACGATAAGAAGGAAGCAAGCGTGGATGTATTGGGTTTAACTGAGTTCTTAATCTACTGAAGGAGTGTACGGAGTTGGCGAAAGACACACAACAACAATGAAAAAACTGTAATTTTCTGTCGAGAACTAAAAAAGGTTGAGGGTCATGGTAAGCACTTTTGGTTGAATGTTGCACAGAAGAATTATAGTGTGTTCCCAACCTCATTTTTTAGAGGCGACGAAAACCAATCAATCGACGTTTCCA